TTTATGGATTATCACATTATGTTGCAATCTGTGGATTTCCTTCGAGGAAATCGTGGATCATTTCAGACGCTCCGTGTTGGCTGCACATTGCTGGGCTAATCCTGCTTGGTGCTTTTAAGATGTTAACCCTGCTTGATTACTTTTAAGGTGTTCGATTTAATGGCCCTGAAAGGCTGCCATCTTGGTTCCTTATCAGTTTTTAATATCATGTGACTTAATCCTATGCTTATCGAGCTTAATATCCATTTGTTTCTTCATTGATTTCCCCTATCAGCTTCTAGCAGAGAGAAAAGACCTATAAAGTTTAGGAGAGGGCAAGTGCTTGTCATGTTGCTAGAGAAGAACACTTGCAATATATTTTGGTTATTAAGTTTATGATGATGCGCTGCAAGGTAAATTCAATCCCCTCATATCTCTACAAAATGGGAGAAACGAAGCTATGAACCAATATGATTTTTTATAGCATATATTTTCCTAGGTTCATGTACTTGTCACCGCTCAAATTAGTTCTAATTCGGGGAGGGTGAGTGGTTGTTGCTGTGATGGTGGGCGAGAGCCGAAAGATGATTCCACATGTTTGATTATGGGATTTATTCAAGGTTGGAACCAGCCGGAGGCCTGTAAAACCAGGTTTCTCGGATTTAGATTGCTATTATGGCATCCATCCATTCATTAGATGCGCGACTTCTTGTGATTCTACCCTGAATTGATTGTAAAGGATTTACTGTGTTGATGTCTGCAGAACTGTGGTGGCTCCTGCGGTGCCCAAGGACGAGCTGGGACGACATGCTTCTTCAGCACGAGACACTGAAGGCGTGCAGCAAGACTGAAACCATTGGTTGTCCGGTGGGTCAGGAAGGTGAGTGTTTTGCATAATATCTCTCATGGTGATTGTTGAGTTAAAACTATGGCAAGTTGCTTATAATTTATGGGTGATTCTCCCGTGCAGTTCCCGTTCTTTTGCAGCAACAGGGAGTTAATTCAGGGAATCATAATTAACAATTTGGTTTCTCTTCTTTTTTTTTAAAGCCTAGCAGGCAATCAAGTGTTTAGTATTTTGTCATTTGACATTGCAGGTACCATCAGGGAAGTGCCTTATGGAACTCTTAAAGATTGACTGCTTTAAGGACAGTATGGATCATGTTGCTAGGCGGAAACGATCAGTAGGTGCAGCAAGCAGTTGTGGCAAAATGATTTTTTAATGCACACTTTATGAAGTAATGATATTTTTGTCAAGGATTCATATTGTTCCATTCTATCCTTTGTTTATTATCTTTCCTGTTGTTATACATATTAGTTAGGGAGTAGCGTAAACTTAAGTGCCAATTTGGATTAGTTTGGAGCCCAATTACTTTGGAGGTGTGCTTACTGGCTATTGCATTCCGTAGTTAGCACTACATTGATACTGCACTGGATTCTCATGTGAGGTTCTCTAATTTAATCTTTTATTACTTAAAATAGGTTTTCTAACCATTCTGTGAGGTACAGAACTGAAGCTATCCTTCATCCAAGTTCCAATTACTGGCCATCTAATTTATCTATGTCTGAGTTGTAAATTTTTTCCTTGCCTGCAGGAACTGGTGTTGCTCTTGCTGGAGTTTTCCTATATTCTCAGTTCAAAAAGTTAAAACCAAAGACTAAGGCTGCATGAAGACAACCACCTGATCAGGTAAAAAACTATAAAAGGATCGAGAATTTGGAACTATGAACTGATGTGGTGAAGCAGACTTGCCTTCATGGTAGCAAACACCGGTCGTTTCCCCATGTTGGTGGTATAAGATTCATTGCGGATGAAAAGAAGTCCCTGTGAGCGGAGCTACAAAAGGAAGCCCATATCTTTAAAAAATGGCATGTTCTCTTGTCAGCTTCTTTGGCTGTGAGAAGCTTGTACATATTGGTTAGCCCTTTCTCTCTGTTTTCATGCTTGCTTTTTGACAGCAAAAAAGCAGAGGACACCTAGGTACATCAAGATTGATCTCCAGTAGGATAGGTTTGATCCAAAGTCCAACTGAATTAATAAGAAATTACATAATCAAGTTAGATAAAACTTTTTTGTTGAACCTTAGAAATGAGATACCTTCCTGTTTTACTCTTTGATACCGCCAGAGCCTGGCAGGTGGATCGAAGTTGCAATGCAGTAGAGACTACCATTGACAGGAATGCATTGTGAGAGGTGGGTGTCCAAATGAACAGCAAGTGGGGATTGGTGAATGCTGGCTATCGATCATCAAATGCTCTCCGTGCAGGTGAGGCGATTGTGATTTCTTTTTTCTTGTGATGGCAACTGCATCTTCAGAGGGTTTTGTAAAGCTTTGATCATGCAAGTTTACTTAGTCAAGGACTCAAGGTAGATAACTAGAGTAGAGTTGATAGTCGATTAACTCATAATAGTTCATTGGGTCAGTTATATGATTCTTTCTCTCTCTTGATTAAATATATTGTCCGTCTCACCCTGCTAATGCTAAGCTTCCATAGTAACTTATTGTTAATAAGGCAAGCATATATATCATGAGAAATTAATATGAAATGACAATGGAAATTTGAATTAGCAAGAGCTGGCCAGTGACTACTATATAAATACTAGCTCAAAGTACAAATTTATTTCTACCAAATTGATGTCCACTAGAAACTAATTTCCAATCATTTGTGAAGATTTAGGGCCGTCTAAACTCCAAAAATGTTGAATTTAATTATTAGAATATTAGTATGCGGGCGGTGCTGCCGAGGAGGAGAAAGCTTTGGTGCTAGGGAGGGCTCGCCGCATGGGAGGTGCAAGAAGGAGGAAGGGGATGGGGAGAAGAGCAAGGCGCTCGACAAGGGGGAGGAAGACAATGACAAGGGCAAGAAAGAGTGAGTAGCATGATTTGTTTTCTTTACTAACTAAAATAGTGGGTGTTGATTTTAGTAATTTAATATTGTTTTTCTGCTGAGTTCAAAGGTTCAGTAACGTTCAGTAATTTTAATATTGATTGGAAGTTAAAAGGTTCGCAACTATCTCTAATTTACTTGTTGATTTCTGTTTTTTTGTATTTTCCCTTCCCTCCTCTCCATTTACTTGTTGATTTCTATTTTGTTGGTACTTGTAGAATTCAATACTCGAGTTCACTATGTATTTCTTCACTACCTCTAACTGGTGGACAGTGTGCTTGCATGTGTTCTGACACGCTTTCTAAGATAGGGAAATCACATGTTTGTGCTACGAGTTAAAAATTTCTTGCTCTGTATTCTGTAATGACGGTAGGCAATAGTGCTAACTCTTCATAGCCTTGTAGGTCTGGTTGTTATTATACCTTATATTATTAAACTTTTGTGTGCTGATGTTCGGAAATTTAGACATGGCACCTGCTGCTGTGCTGTATGTAGGACAAATTCCTATGGTCCTATCAATTGCAAAGCACATGCATTTGTGCTTATGTGCCTATGTAGGACAAAGGAATTTGTGCATTTTTCATGCATCTGTTCCAATCAATTTACTCATGCTTGTATTTTTTTTTCCAGTGCAGCGTCATGAAGATTCAGAGAAACTTGCATATGTTTTATGTACCCAGCTGCTTTACGTGACGAAAAACTCTTGAGGTCAGATTTGTTGAATTAGTCACTGGCAAGGAGTAATCTGTTAGTGAGTTGTTGGCATTAAGGCTGCTGACACTTTCCTTGCAGGATATCTGTAGAATAAATGGGAGAAGGTAACAGTTCTGACAAATTTTTTTTAATGCGCTTGATAGTATGAATATTACTATTTGCTTAAAAATTGGAGTTGGTGCTCTAATCGTGCATATAAAATTGTAGTACATGAGAGTTTTGGCGTGTCATGCAGTAACCAGTTATGTAGCTTGCTTGCGATCAAATCTGTAAGTGTGGGCTATGGTGGTGTTCCAGGCTGCTAAGTATACATATTACGTGGCCTGGATCAGAAAGTAAACTTACTTTTTCTACATATGCTAATGGAATGAATCTTTTTAGAAGTTTCTGTAATGAGATTGTGAAAGTACTGATGCCTTGCCTTAGTTAATTTCAAATATGTTTCCTGAAGACCAAATGTTGTTTACTTTACTGATTCAGAGGATGATTGACAAATCTTCAATGAGAAACAGAGGTCAACCTCGCCATGAGCCTTCACGTGTTGGCACGGCTGCACTACCAATGCATCTCCAGCATTGCCTTGGGAGGCTAGATGATCAGGAGCTAAGGAGCTGATGGCCAGGTGGGGTAGGTATGGAGCAGAAGCCATTGATCTTTGGAACATCATTGTGCTATATTGTTATCTTATTGTGCGATCCGTATATTTTTAATACAAAATGTTAGCTATCCCGTAGCAACGCACGGGCACGTTACCTAATTGTTATATTAATTTAGAACCAAAATTTTCTTTGTTTGGCCTTTTATAGTGTATTGATTATTAGTTTTGAAATTTCCTGATATTTTTCTACGTATTGTTCTAATCGGCTGATACTTTCCTGTATCACAGGCTTCCACCTCATATCAAGAGCCAACAGACGTGATCTTCTGACCACTGAAGTGTTCCCTTCAACTGATGAGCCTCCATAGCTTAGCTTGTCCGTGGCGAAATCCACCAGACATGTAAGCAGACAGGAGCTATCTAGGGAAGTCTTTTGTATATGTGCAATCACCTAAGCGTTTGGCGATGTAGGAACCTCCGGCTAAATAGTCAGTTGGATATCATGGTGAACATGAACATGGTTGCAAACTATGAGCTATTTCCCATATTATGAACCGCTTTAGTGCTTTGGATGGATTTGTACCAGTATTTTAAACTGTTGAGGTAACGATGAATTCTAGTGTTGGCATGTAATCTGTATGGATAGACAAAAACCATATATGGTCTACAAAGATAATACACTAAGTGTTATTATTATATATCTATATGTGTTTCTTTATATGTATTTTATATTATTACTTCACAATAGGACGCTGGTAGGGCGCCCGGAAGGGCGCTTCCTTTTCTAGTTACTATTTAAGCTAACAAAAAGCCACCTGCCCTAGATTCGAACCGACTTCCCAGATTTACGTGTTGATCGCCTAACACATCCACTTACAGCTGGCTGCTTACCCACATCTCCACCCTTGGCATTTTGAAACTCCTTGTTACTAACACTTTCGTGCTTACCTTTGGTTCTTTCATCAACCACTCCTAACGCTGTTTCTGCAACTGAAGCCTTATTGCCATTGTCATCAGATAATGAAACACGACCACCATTTCTAGCTATATTATCCTTGTAGCTCCTAGTGATCCTATCTTTGAAACCTGATGACAGCGACTCAACATCTTCCAATCTGGTCTTAGCAGTATTACGTGTCAATCGATGAGCTATACTCAAGTCCTTGCCCCCACTGGTACTCTACTCAACTTGATATTTTCTAAATCTGTGTTTCTTAACAATTCATCAGCCTGAGGACGGTTTCTGCTTGATCGCCTGTGTTGGGAGAACTTACAGAGCACAGCAACTTGTTCTTTCTCCTCTACAGAAGGTACAATCGGCTGATGCCTGTGAGTTGCTGGTCGACTGGGCTTCCTCTTGATTTCAAACTTCTTGCGGGCACGAGTTTCATCAACTACACTGTTGTGAACAACTCTGTTCCTCAGTGACTTGGTAATAGGAGCATCATTTCGAGGAACCTCCAAATCTATAGACACCTCTCCATTTGGGTGCACATCTTCTGCCTTTCTTACCTTTCTTCCAATCACAGTGGGCGATGACACAGTAGCTGCTATTGAGTGTGATCTTGTAGTTCTGCCATAAAACTCCACCTTAGCAGGTTTCAGCTCAGCAGGGATGTAGTCTTCTTCCTTCCTCTTACTCTCAACAATAATTGGTAATGTTGTGGTAGCCAAAATTTTAACTTCAGCTAACTCCTTAACACCAAGTTCATCCTTATCATCTGCTACTTCCATCTTCTCAACAACAGGGGACAACAGAACAGCAGCTGAGGACGAGCTTGACTTCCTTGTCCTCCTATGAGAAATTCCAGATGGAGCATTGGCAGAAATATCATCAGCATTCTCCTGGATCTTCCGCTTCTGCTTCCTATAAGTGGTTGCTTCTACTGCCTCCTCTTCTTCCTCAGCCTCAGCAAGATTATTCTGACTTTCAACTCCACTTTCAGCACGCGAATTCACGGCTTTTGTCCCGAACTGTGTCACTGGAGCATCTGCACCCACCTCTCCAAAAGCACCATGATCAACAGAATCGCCAGCAACATCAAACTTCTGCTGGCTACCCCTTCCGCCCAGAGTTGTGGTAGGAAGTGTCTTCCTGGCCTTGGGCCTACCCCTTGTCTTCCTCCTCTTTTTTCCAACGACAGTGGGCAATATCACATCAGCTGCTACTGAGCTTAATCTTGTGGTTCTGCAAGATACCACCACCTTCGAAGGCTTCTGCACAGAAGGAACGCAATCTTCACCCATCCTGCTACTACTACTACTCTCAATAATAACTGGTGATGCTGCAATAGTCAAATCTTGAACTCCAGCAGCATGCTCCTCAGCAGAAAGTTCATCATTACCATCTCCTACCTTCCTAGCCCCTCTCTTCTCCTCAGCATCAAGGGGCAATAAAACTGCTGCAGCTGACGAGCTTAAACTCCTTGTGATCCTACGAGAAACTCCTGCCCGAGAATTAGCAATAACCTCGGCATTCTCCTGGGCCTTGCGCTTCTGCTTCCTACCAGTAGCTGTTCCTACCACCTCCCCTCCTTCCTCAGCCTCAGCAGGGTTATTCTGACTTTCAATCCTACTGGGAGCATGTAAACACACCTCTTTCATCCTGGACTGTGTCACTGGGGCATCTGCACCCACCTCTCTAGTAACACTTTCATGAGCAGAACCACCACCATCATTGCGCTTCCGCCGCCGACCCCTTCCACTCACTGCAGCAGAAGGAAGTGCCTTCCTAGCCTTGCGCCTCCCTCTTTTCTTGGCAACAACCAGTGACAAAATCACCTGGGATCTTCGTCCCTTCACCTCTGACGTTTCATCCAATGCAAACCTCACCTTCTTCGAAGCCCTGGAGGTGCAACCGCTAGCACTACCTCCCAGCCGCTTCAGACAACCCTTCCCCACCACCACACCAACCACACTCTCAGCAGCAGCAGCAGCCCCCTGCAACTGCAAAAACAAGCAAACCAAAATCAACAGAAAGATAAGAACAAAAAGCACTTTGCTCATTTCACTCTTTGCTCTGGCGGTTTCTATTTTTAGCAAAGTCTTGGTCTGTCTTCAGGGGGGATTGTCACGTGTGTGAATCCTGAATAGAGAAGCAAACTTGACAACTTGGCCACTTCATTATTAGCCTGATGGTCATTGCACATGGTACCAGGAATAGCAAAGCACATGTTGATAAATAAAACGAGAAAGAAAAGGAAAATGCATGCTTCAGGTTGCTAAGCTACTACCTGCACCATCTTTTAGTAGTTTTTCTGGTAGACTGGACCGTGCGTACAAACAAACTATAATCAACACACCATTACTCATGACTTCATGCAAAGGGAAAGAACAAAAAAGTGAAACTGGCTTGGGTTTTGTTTGTTTTATGAAAAATAGTACCCTTTTTTTTTTTTAAGGGCGGGCCTAGTGCAAGCGGTAGAGTCTTACCGCCTGTGACCAGAAGGTCCCGGGTTCGAGTCGCGGTCTCCTCGCATTGCATAGGCGAGGGTAAGGCTTGCCACTAACACCCTTCACCAGACCCCGCACAGAGCGGGAGCTCTCTGCACTGGGTGCGCCCTTTTTTATGTTTCATCAATAAAGGTAAGGAAATCTAAAGTTTTCTGCAATGGGCAAGAAAGACTGCAAGAAAAGCAAGGGTTTTGGGGCGGCCGTACCGAGAGCGCGCCTGCGAGCCCGGCGGCGAGGTCGGCTTTGGAGCCGCGGGTGGCGAGGCCGTGCTGCCGGCAGAGCTCCAGCAGGTCCCTCCACTTCATCGCCGCGAACTCCATCCCCCGGCGGCCGGCGTTGTGCTCACCCGCCGGAGAGGCGCGGCCGCGCGGGTCTTGGTTTCGCTCGAATCACCGCCGTTCGACCAACGGATTTTGGTGGCGGTGGTGGGAGGGTGGCGAGCTTTTTGGTAATGGAATTATGGAAGCCAGCACGAGGGGCGCAATGGCGTGGATGGACGAGACCGGCGCGGCGCCTCGGGACGCGTGCGGTGGCGGTGCCTCGGCCCTGGTGCGGTGCAGGGGTGCGGCGGTGTTTCGTAGTCTGGCCGTGGGTCCGGTAAGCAGTGCCCTTGTGGGGATGCCCAGGAGGCGACGGCTTGCTGGAGAATTGGGCGTGAGCTGTTCCACTGGCAGGTGGGGTCGCGCAAGGGCAACCTAGCGTACGTCTCGATTGAGGGTTGAAGACTGTTGGATTGGGTTGGGTTTTTTTTTTGAGATCAAGAGGTTTGTTGAGCTCACAGAGGAATATTCTCTCAATATCCTGTTCGGCTGGTTGGCTCATAGTTTTTGTGGCTGATAAGTCGGCTGATGCTGTTTTATTATGAGAGAAAAACATTGTACCATGGCTGATAAGTTCAAGCGAACACATGTCCTTCCAAAACGGAGAAACCAATCCAACTCACTTCATCTCCTTGAGCATGCGGCATGGGCATGGGACGAAGCTCTAGGGGCTGCTCTCTGGTGGAGCTCGGGAGGACCACCGTGGATGAGCTCGAGAAGGACCACCACCGTAGGTGAGCATGGTGAACCTCCAAGAGTGTGGCTATCCAGGGCCGGACCTTCGGGGCGAGCATAAGGGCAGACTCTAGGGCCCTCTTGTGGCAACGACGTGAGCTCGGGGCAGACCTCCGGGGTCCTCTGTCGGCATCTAAGTGGCGCGACGAAGGGGCTTAGGGGCGGCAGTCGCATGACATACGGGCGGGGGCGTGGAAGAGAGAGCAACATAGGACGGGGTTGCAGGTGCGGCGGTCGTGGCACACGCGTGATGCGGTGGAGAAGAAAGTGAGATGAAGGAAAAAAGAGGATGACATGTGGGGTCCATGTGCCAGGGTCCTTAACCCACATCTATTTGTCTCTGAACCAAACAGGTGAACTAGGATAACAGTATCCCTTTAACCAAACATGAGATGGGTTCAACACAACTCAACCCAAAAAAAATAGAGATAGAGCCAACCCATCCCACATGATTCCCAAACCAAACATACCTCTACACTACCGTGGTACGGTTTTGACCAAAAATTTGGAGCTACCTAAAACGAGGTTGTGAACCAAATTAGGCACGACTAGAATGCTCTTAAGCATAAAGTTGGAATTAGCGGTAGGTAAAAAAGCAGTGGCACGATAGAAACACAAGAATAGAGTCGTTATTGTCGATGGTAATAAAGGAGTGAGACATAGGAAGGTGATCAGCAAGTATACCATTGAAGGAGCTCACGTGGGAAGTAGCCCCGGTGGCCAAGCTATGGACGGTGCGATCAGAGAGGGAAGGTGGTCAGCTCTGACCGTCTTCGTTAATGTTCTCTGGAAAAACAAAAAAACATAAAACTTGTAATTTTTGGAGATTCTAATCCAGTACCTGCTACTCAACACTACCACGTCTCTCTATTACTGTATCACACATTTATTCATGTCTATATATAATATGCTATCTTTTTATATTAATATTTTGCAGTCTTATATTGGATATTTTGGCTACTAAATGAACTCAAATGAAAAAATTTAACTAGAGTTTTAAATCTTGTCAAGCACTACAACTTTGGTATAGGATGTATCTCCATTAGACATAGTTTGAAAAATTCAAAAAATTGAGTCTCAAAACAATTTCGATGACTTTAAATTGAAAACTTGTCAATATCAAACATGTAGATCAGGTCGGCCACTAGAACTTTGGTATTAACTATATAAACATCTGAGATCGTTTAGAATTCTAAATTTTAAATTTCAAAATCTATAACCTTTGAACACATATTTGTGACTCTAAACATCTTTGAATTAAAAACTTTTCAACAACAAAGTTGTGGATTTTATTGAGAACTATAACTTTTGTATAGACCATGTCAACATCCGAGATCGTTTGATAATTTTAAATTTTAAATTTTAAAATCTACGCACTTATAACAATATTTTTGGGCCCTAAGCTGTTTCAATTCAAGAACTTTTCAACTACAAAGTTCTAGATCTCGAGAGCTACAATTTTAATATAAAATTCGTCTTCATCCGAATTCATATGAAAAAGTTATAAATTATTTTTATTGCAACTGTTAACCGAGGCAGACATTTTAAGACACCCGCCTCCATAAATCGATTTACTGAGGCAGACGCTTATAAAGACTGCCTCCATAAATAATCGATTAACCGAGGCGGTTGGCCTACGATGTCCGCCTCGTTAATCCATTAATGAAGGCAACTGCCTTGGTTAATCGTGGATTAACCAAGGCAGGCACTTGGCCGGCAGCCCTGGCACCGATTAACGGAGGCGAACAACCAGTTCGCCCGACTCGGAGTTGCAAAGCTAAATGCTGTGCAATTTTTTTTTTGTAGTAGTGAGAAGGGACGATTGGAAATGCCACGGGTTTGGTGGACGCCTAGCTACCTAGGAAGGACGCCTGAGCGGTGCGACGCTAGGGTTGAGGGCTCAACGCGGCTAGAGGAGCGGTGGTAGGAGGTGGGCGCGACACAGGGATTGACAGCATGATGGGGAAGAGTCGACGACAGCTAAGGTTAGCAGCAGAAGACTGAGGGGGCAGGAGTAAAAAGGGTCTGTCTCTTGATACCATGCAAAATAAACAAGGAAAATGATATGGGGAACACCACACACCTTTAGGTTGGGTGATTATATATACAATATATATAAGCCCAAGACAAAACATAGTAATTTAGGTTTGGTGTATGAATCTGCCTGACCAAGACTCGGTCGGGACTTCTCCTCGATGCGGGTGATGCTGGCCTCTAGGTTCTTGCCCATGTCAGGGTATGTTGCAGATGAAGCCATCCCACCAGCGTCGAGAAAGGGGGTTGGCTGCTAGTCGGGTCGGTCGACCGTCGGCCATGGAAGGAGGCAGATAGTGGACGGAGCGGATGCGAGGATGCGAGCATGTGTGGAGAAAAGAGTTGGCTGCGACACACTCGAAGGAGGGAGCATGGGATGCACGGAGGTTAATAGAAACAATGTGGTTCTTCCCCAACGCGGTATTTCTAGTTTCTCAGTGGCATCGATGCAAGCGAAGACTCTGTTTCTTGATAAGAAATGGTTTCTTTGTTTCTCCCTCTCCTCAATATCTTGCTTGCCACATCAGTAAATTGTATAATTGGTAGTTTGGGAGAGATACAACTCCCCTTTATTTGAAGGCAGATGAAGTAAATATTGGTGGCCACCAAAAAGGGAGAGGTATTGGAGAACCGCTGGAGAGAAAAAGCATAGTTGTCCCTAATATGGCAGATTTATGAAGATAGAGGAGGTATTAGGATCCCGCTGGAGATGCTTAGCTACTATCAACCTTGCTCTATGGTGGAAAGTTTCAGTGATGACATTCTGCACAAGGACATAGTGGTGATGTGGCAGTGCTCCTTTTTTAGGCGATCTTTTGTCAACCAGTGGTGGCGACAACATTAGTTCTTGCTTAGTTGCAACATTAAGATGGGACAACCTGAAAGCATCTAGGTCCCTAGTTGGGTTTCAGTGATTAATGATGACACGAGATAACTATGACTAACGTATGTTTTGCAGAGGCATCATGAGTTAGGTCATGGTAATGGCAATTGATTGGGCAATATGGTTTTCATGCCTCCGTCGATGGAATTCGATTCGGTTTTCAAAGGATGGACGACAAGGTTAAGGATGGACTAGTTTTAAGTGTCATGGAGTTGGAGAGACACTTAGAGTAGTTTAGGACTTTGTTTTTCCTTTAGCCGTACTATTAAGGGGGGTATGGACTAGTAACTTAACCTAGGTGAGTCTAATGAGTTAGGTGTGGTGCACACTTGTCAAACTTAGCACTAGGTAGCTCAGGTGAAGCCCTTAGATCAATTGGAAGTAACTTCATTCACACAGGATTTCGAGTTGGAAGTGAATGAAGGGTCAAGTGATTGACCGGATGCTGGTCACGTAGTGATCGGACGCTGGAGGGTGCGTCCGGTCAGTTCATTTGATCAGAGGCAGTGGTCTGGTACTGACCGGACGCTGGGTGGAAGGGCACCAAACGTTGGGGGTCTGCGTCCGGTCAACAACAGAAAGGCACCAGAGAGGTATTTTCCTAACCAGACGCGTCCGGTGGGTGCTAACTAGACGCTAGCCAGAGTCCGATCAGAACTTAACGGCTCTTTCTGACAGAGGGGTGTGTTGAACTGACTGGAGCGTCCGATCAGCCCACAGAGTGCCGACTCAGCCTCCCAACGGCTTGTTTTGTTTGAGGGGGTATAAATACTTCCTCTATTCGTCCATAGGAGGTCTCTTGCTCATTTGTTCAGTTGAGAAACACCTTTGGAGTGCAAGGAAATGCAAGAGCCTAGTGAGGGTCATTGAGATTTGCTAATCCAAGATTAAGGACCTCATTAGTGCATAGGGATTAGCAAGGTGCATCCACTCATCTCATTAGCCTTGTGAGGGTCAAGTGAGAGTTCGTGCTTGTTACTCTTGGTGATCGTCATCACCTAGATGACTTGGTGGTGATTGAGAGCTTGGTGGGCATCCGAAGAGCTTGTGGATCACCCAAGTCGGCATGTGAGCGGTTGTGGGTGATTCACCACGATGGAGTGTCGAAGAATCAACCTGTAGAGAGCACTTGGTCGTTGCGCGGATCAAAGGGGAGCTACACCCTTGCGTGGGTGCTCCAACAAGGACTAGTGGGGAGTGGCGACTCCGATACCACGGGAAAACATTACCGTGTTCTTTCCCTCTTATTTTGGGCATTTACTTTGAATATTTACTTTGAACAATTCAATTCATGTCTTTATATTCTTAGAATTGCCATGCTAGAGTAGGATTAGAACCTAAGTTGCTT